ATTATGTGCATGGTGGCCAGCAGCGGCAGCAGCGGGGTGCGCCGGGCCGAGCCGGGGGGCCGGGCCCTCGGGCGGTGTAGGGACAATGCGGCTGCGGCAGGGTCCTCGGAGCTTGGTGCCTGGTCGTTGGTCGCGTCCCGGCACACGTGGCGGGATAGGACGCCGCCGCGTCTGGCTGCCGGCGCGGCTTGGCGGCTTGGCGCCGCTCTCCGGCGAGTGTTCGCACCCCGTTGCCACACCGCACCGGCACCGCGGCCTTGGCCATGACGGCGTCCGGCCTTCCCACACCATCACGGCGGACACCACGGACACGCTTCCAATCACCACGGCGCCGTGACGTAACTGGAGGACCGCCTGCCGCCTGGCCGGCCTGGCCCGTTTCGCAGAGGGGCGTGTCGGCGGGGAGGGCTGCGGCGACCTCCACGAGGGCGGCCCCCACGAGGGTCGAGATGAGAAGAGGGAAGTGCAGACTGGCCGCCGCGAAGACAGACGCCTCATCCGCCGCGAGTGCATGGTGCCGCTCTGCCCCACAAGACCGCCGTCCCCACCTCGTGTCCGCGGTCGCGGATCCAGACAGGTTTTCGTGAGTCGTGATCCAATCTGGCTGGGCCGGGCCCCGCATAGCCCGCCCCGCCCCGCGGCCCGCAGCCGGGCCCCGCAGCCAGGCCGCGGGCCCGCGGGTTTGCCAAGCGGTCGGGCCTCTCGAATGTGGTGCTCACGTCAGCGCCATCGACGTGTAGCGGGGGTGTAGCTCAGATGGTAGAGCGCTCGCTTAGCATGCGAGAAGTACGGGGATCGATACCCCGCACCTCCACTTTTTTTCTCAAAAATTTTGTTTCCAATTTTACGAGGGGGCCACCACTTTCGTTTCAGGCGTACACAAGATTACGGGATTAGGGGAAATTTACTGGGATTACGCGTGAAATTTTGGAAAATTGGTTCAAAAACGTTGAAAAATAGCTCAAAAACGTTGGTAAATGACAGAATTTTGACAAGGATTACGGGGGTGGTGGCTCCCTCGCAATTTTTTTACCGACGGGCTTTGTTAGTGAATGCCTGCATCTGTCGGATGCGCTTCCCAGGCCTCTACCTTACCCAGGCGCTGAGTGTTCCATACATGAATTGCCAAGGGGTTTACTTTTTCCTCGCGGTGCACGCTTTGCGACCCCCGAGCTAACCCGACCGTCTCCGGGCGACCCTGACGGCCTGTCGACGGCGACACTGCAGGGAAGCGCTAAACGGCATAAAGCGCCCCGTCGACACGTCGACAGCCCGATAGGCCGCTCGTGCGTGGGTGCGAGTCTCGTGTGTACTCTCCAACCCATTTCCGCATGCGCACGCACACACGCACGCACGAGGACACGCACACACTCGCACACCTGCGGGTGGCGTCAGGAAGGAAGGCGAGGCATATGTCTCTCTCTTTCTCTGCCCTTGGCCGCGCTGCACCGCTCTCCGTGTCTACGTGCGCCGCCGTCGCGCTATTTTCATTATTCACTTGGACTGGACGCGGTGACTGCAGGCCATCGGCAGGCCAGTTCGAGCCGTGGTCTTGTCGCTCTGACTCCCTTGGTCTGCCGGGGCGTTGCCATGGGCTGCGAGAGAGAGGCAGAGGCAGTCGGACGACAGTGGCGACCGCGCCCCGCCTGCATCGCTGCAAGGGCACGCCGTGACGAGCCGCAGTGCTGGCGTCCGTCCGCCCCGTCCGCCCCCGCAGCGGGGTTAGAGTTCGCCTGCACGCTTGCACAACGCTGGCTCGCCCTTTTCGTTCCTATGCGGAAGGCAGACCCGGTGCCCGCGCCGTGCATTCTGCTGCAAAAGGCGCTGGCGCGACCCGCGGCACGACGTCGCCTCCTTCCCTCTCCCCTGTGCTGGCCGGGCGGGCCGGACGGGCCGGACGGGCCGGGCCATGGCGCCTGGAGGGTAGGCTTCCCGCCGCCACCCGTGTGCAACGGGGCGGCCCGCCCGGGAGTCCGCAGGGGCTCCCGCTCCCGGCACGCTGCTGCCAGCTCGCCTGTCTGTCCGCCTCGGGCCGCCGCCGCCCGCCTGCCGCCAGCCAGCCAGCCCCGATGTGTTTTGTGCGTTTCGTTGTCGTCACGTTTGTCACCCGTTCCTCGCTGGCGCAACGTGCTGCACGGTCCCCCGCCCGTGGGTCAGGGCCTCCTCCGCCTGCTCCGCCTGCTCCGCCCCGCCCCGCCGGCCCCTGCGCCGCGCGCCCCCCGTGCACATTAATGCGGTTGTTCACCAGACTCGTGCCCATCTACATGCAGCAGGGCGACAGTTAGGACACGCGGGTCAGAACGGCGGGGAGAATGTTGCGGCAGGACGTTGGTGCGTACTTCGTACCGCGTGCTGGGCCGCCCGTCCTTGCCGCGCACCGCCCTGGCACCGCCTTACTGCCTCACTGCTTTGCTGGAGAAACAGCGTGAACGGCGCGGACTGTGACTGTGCCATTGAAATTGAAATGCCCGCGAGAACAAGTCACGACCACGGTGTGGCGCGGCGGCCGAACAGAAGCTGATATGAAAAGCGTGGGAATCGGCGGCAGCTCGCTCGCCTCGGGTAATGGCTGGTTTTAGGTCTCGGCTCCCCTCGCGCACGTACACTGGAGTAGCGAGCCGGGCCGAGCCGAGCCGAGCCGGGCCGGTGAGGCAATTTGTGAGTGGGCCGGCTGGGATTGGGCTCGCGACGCATGCAGGCCGCGCACCGCACCGCACGGCGCGCAGGTGCAGCAGCCAGCCAGAGCATGCAGAGCAATGCAGGGCAGTGCAGGGCGGTGCCCCGACCGCCGATATGGCGTGCATTCCGATTCCGCCACCGCACTGTTCCATTCCGCGTCACTGACTCAGTGCCGGATTGATCCGCTGACGGCGTCCAAATGGCGCGTTTGAGCGCTTTGAGTGCGCGGCTCGGCTGCGGAGCGCTCGCTCTCCGAGTGCTGATGCGCTGATGCGCTGGTGGCGAGGCGCTTGACCCACGCCGCCACACTGCAGGGCACGCCAGGGCACGCCAGGGCACGCCCTCGGCGCGATGCCGACGTCGCTGTCACCCGGGCCGCGACCCCGCCGCGCTGGCCCCCGCCGTGGGCGAAGTGAAGTGCCTATGCCGTGTAAAGCTACACCGTTCCGTTCCGCTTTGCCGGGCTTTGCCGGCCGGGCCGCTACGCCCGCTACGCCCCCACACCCCGCGGGTCGCCAAGTCGCGAACGCACTGCTTGTCGGAGCGGGGCGCTGCTGCTTCAGCGGTCTCGGCGCCGAGAATACCCGGAATAGGGCTAAAAGCGACTAAGCCGACGCCGCACCGCGCTGGACACACAGAACGCGGATCGCGGATCCCGGGCAGTACATTAATTGCGCCCGTGTGGCCGAGCGGCCGTCGCGGCGCTGGAGTACAGTCCGGCTAGTAAGTCCAGTGGGTCGGTTCTGACTCGGGCCGGACTCTGACTCACCCACTGACTGACTGACGGACTCGCCGTGATGGCCGCCACCTTGGCGCGGACTGTACCTCACTTCTCACGCCCCCCAGCGTCCCAGCGCCACTTGGGCTGGAAGCTGGAGTCGACTCTGCGAGGAGGACGAGGCCGGCGTGGCCGCGATCGAGGCTCTGTTTCGTGAAGGTACAGTCCAGTGAGTGAGTGGTGTGCGATGACTGCTTCGCGCCCCGCGCTCCGCGCTCCGCCCCGCTCGCGCAGATGGCGCGGCCGGCCACCTGTCTCCACACGCGGAGCGCGGTGCGCGGTGCGCCAAAGACGCAGCGCTGCTTGTCAGTGCTCTAGTCAGTGCTTGAGCAGGGTGCCAGTCCACCTGGGTCCGCGCCTCCGTCCGCGCCTCCGTCCGCGCCCGTCCGCCGTCGCTCGTCCGCCGTCGGTCATCGGGGAGGTAGGAGGTGAGGTGCGTTCTTGTGGCTGCGATGCTGCGATGCGCCGCCAAACGCCACGCCATTATTATCTTTTTCTATTAAGAAACCTAAGGCGGCCGAGGAAAAAATCCGGCCGAGGCGCCGAGGCGTCCAGACCGGTTAGCTCCTCACCGCAACGCATCGTCTATCACGCTGACGCCGGCTGACGCTCATTTGAGGGGTTTGCATCACCGTCAAGGGCGTTCAGGCGGTTCAGGCCGGGACACGCTGGAGCACGGCTGGAGGGACGGGGGGCCACTCGGCACGTCGCTAATAGACTGCATGGCGTCCGTGGCGTCCCGAGGGTCTGGCGGTGGTGACGGCGCAGCGAGATCACCTCCCGGTTAAAGTTAATTACCTCCACATCGGCAGGCCGGCCGGCAGATCCCCTCAGGAGCGTTCACGCCGTTTACGGTGCAGGCCCATCGACCGGCCGCGCGGCACCACGGCGTGCGGCGGCCACTGAACACGCCACGCCATGCCGTCTTTACGAGATCACGGCCCCCCGTCACTGTCACCCGAATCCAATTTTTCGCTCGGCGAGAAGTCGTTTGCATCTTGCATCCATGGCGGCACGAGAAGGCGAGCGGCTGTCGCCTGCGGCCTTGGGCCTCGGGCCCCCTGGGCGCGCCAAAGTAAAGCGGTTACGTAGTTACGCGAGAGCCTCCCCCTCCCAATCCCCCGGCCGTTGAATTGTGCTTGTGCGCCTCACCGCGGTGATCTTCCGCGGCAGCTTTACGCAGCAATTAACGCGAATTGCCGCCGCGCTTCAGTCCCTTCACTCTGTCTCTGTCGCACTATCCCTGTTTCGCAGGGGCGCGAGAGAGACGGCGACGGTGCACTGGCGGTGGCGTGCGAAATGTCACGAAGGGCCGGTTGCCGGTCGCGTGAGGGGCCGCACCGTGACCTTTCCCAACGCGCGTCGCGCGGCGTGGCCAGTCAGTGGCGGGCTTCCTGCGCCGGGCCGCGCGCCGCCAAGGACCCCGCCACGCAGCACGCCACAGCACGGCGTTCATTGGACGGGCCATCTCCTAATCTCCTTTCTTGTTGCAGTGGTGTGGCGGTGTCGGCAGACGGCAGGGCCCGCAGCCAGGCCGGGCTAGCCGCGAGGGTGGAGGATGCTCTGGCGCCCCTGGCGGGCCTGGCGCCGCCCGCCGGCCGGCTGGTTGGCCTGCTCGGCCTGCCTGGCGCTGCTGGCGCTGCGGCTGACCGCGCTCGAGGCGGCCGAGCCGCTGCGAGTGGGTGCCGCCATCAACGTCTTCAGCCGCTATGGCTACCTGTCCATCTCCATGCGCGTCGTGCCCCGCAACGACTCCGAGTCGTGGGTGTTCCGGGAGCCCACCGTCGACGTGTTCAAGAACATCACCGTGCTGCCCACCCGGTCGCCCACCGCGGCCACGAGGCACGGCGGCAAGATGCCCGTGTTCGAGGGCGACTTCCACATGGAGTTCTGCGACAACCTGCGCCAGCTCCTCCAGGCCTACTTCCGTGACTTCCAGGTGGAGCGGCTGGAGCGGCCCTGGTCCGCGTTCACGGCGTCCTGGTCCCGCAACGCCATGGCCAAGCACCTGGGCCTCAACGCCACGTACGTGGCCGGCTCGCACTGCTACGTCCTGGTAAGCGCTCTGGCGTCCGAGGCCGACGTCGATGCCGATACGTCGAGGCCGTTCACGGGAGGGGCCTAACCATGTATTCGCTGTGCAGGTGCGCGTCGCGCGGCACCGTGACAGCGTGAGGATGGTGCCCCCGCAGCCCGGGGTGCCCGTCGAGGAGGCCGTGGCCAAGGACGCCAATCTAGTCAACCCAGGGGACCCGTCGTCCGTCGTGGACTTCGTCAAGAGCTTCGGCAGCCACTACGTCGCGTCGTACGTCACTGGCAACTCCCTATATCAGGTAGGCGTTCTCTCTCCCCCTTGGTCCTTCCCCTGGACGCGCCCCTCACGCTGGTTCCTCTGGGTGTTGCAGGTGTTCGTGTACACGCCGCACATCTACCAGCGCATCAAGGAGCGCCTCAAGACGCAGGGCGTGGCCGCGCTGTCCGCCGTGGAGCTGGCCAGCTACTTCAGCCCCTGGCACGCGGAGCACATGGGCCGCATCCTGTGCGCGTCGGGCAACCAGACGGTGGAGGAGTGGGCCGCCAACGCGCTGCGGGTGCACTTCTACTTCTTCACGTACCCGAGCCTCATCAAGCTGCACGGCGACGTGGGGCTGCTCAAGACGCTCAACGGGCTGCTGGGCAACGAGGCCGTGCTGCAGCTCGACCTGCGCACGCTGGCGCCCGCCTTCGCCGACCCGGCCAAGCGGCGCTGGTTCCAGGAAGTCATCGACAACCAACTCAAGTTGTGGGAGGTCAACATGTCGTGACCACTGACCAGGCTGTGACTGTGTGACTGTGTCGGCGAGCTCGTTTCGGGGCCAATTGGTGGTCGCGCGTTGTGATCATTTGGTGGCCGTGACGCAAACTGACCGAACTGACCGCGGTGTCTGCCGTCATGGCACGGCGGCATGGCGGCATGACTCACTGACTCACGGCGCCGTGGCTCTCCGTCTCTCTAGTCCAAACCAAATGCGAATGGAGACTGCGGCTCCACTAACTATTTCTGTCGGGAGGAAGAATTCGGGGAATAAGTGTTTTGGCTCTCATTGTCTCTTTCCCCATATATGACCCTGGTAGCAGTCTGCGTTGTCTCGAAGAATCAACAGCGTCCCTGTAGTGTCTGCGGCCACATAGCTGGACCACTTACTTGGCGGCTGGAGCATTAGGAGTGCCGGCCTCGGTCTCGGGGACTTCTGAGAGTGCTGCTCGTGCCTAGAGGCCTGCAGTCTAGAACCGCAGTGTAGGACTTTGCTGGTGCCCAGCCTGCCCAGCCTAAAGCCCAGCCGGGCCGGGTAGGCTACCCTCCTCACATCGGTGTGAAACTGGTGGGGCCGGTGGCCTACCTGGAACCCAGCAGGCGCTCTAGGACTGCGACTGTCCTGTGCAAGGCCAGCAGACTGAGGCCGCTGGCCTAATGCCATTCCAACTGCCCTCTCGATGGATTGCTCTTGAGCGGCCCCAAACAAGGACGTGGGTCCCACTAGGACTGAAGACAGAAATTTTAAAAAGCAGGCACGTTTTTATATTTTTGCCTTTTGATCCTGTCCTGCCATTTCTTTACTTCTTTTGTATTGTACTCTAATAACTCATTCTCTGGCTGTGTGTAGCTAGCTTAAGTATGTAGCTAGGTCAGAATGCCCTTTTTTGTGTGTGTGAAATTGCGGAAATCTATATTTATTTATTTTTCTCTGTGTGTGGCTTGTTACTCAGCAAGAAAATGGGCTGGTGAATAGATTGGCCTGTTAAATTTGGTGTTTTCTTTTGGCAGTATTTAGTTGTGATTTCTGAACTCCTAGCCAATGTGCACTGAATCTTCGGCAATGTTGTAAAATTTAATACTGCATTAGATTAGTAAAAGGAAAAATATGTGTACATAGTGTAAAATACAGTAAGTTTATGATGAGTTCTATGTATTAGATGGAAATCGCCACATCAGTGTCTGAATGTATAAATATTATCCTGTTCTAGCTAAATAGAAAATTATGGGCGCGAGCTCCATCAAAGAAAAAAAGAATACAGCAAAATTTATGGTTAAGTCATAAATGAAATCAATTCTTAGACAAAGGAGTTACTTTACTTTTTATTTTAGTAAATGCAATGATGCACTCAAAATAAAGTGAAACATTCCTACACAATCTCTTTTAACCTGGAAGGAAATATGTATGCAACAATCTTTTGGCCACAAAAATTTGATTGATACACAAAGTCCGCAAGAAATGAACATGAAATGAACTGACAAAATAAGAATATACTTAACTACTGTGCTCTGGGTTCTAAGCTGAAATTTGAATGAGATAGAGACTTCAACAATTCCATATTAAAGAAAATATCTGAATGTTACCATTTTCAAAGGCAGCATCAGGTAATGTCAAAAGTTGTCTCTTCTAAAGGTAAGTTTAGTCATTTTGGTCTTCTTATTAAAAGTAGAATATTGTTGAAGGCTATCACCAAGGGTTCATTGGCTTTTTTCCTGAATACTTACTGTTGCCTTACAATGGCATGCTCAGACAGTATGCAGCTTATGAGTACAAAGACTTATGTGAGTATCAACTTGTTTGTGCAATTCTTTTGCAAATCTATGAGCAAAAAAATAACTTGCCACATCATTACAACCTTACAATCATTAACGAACTCTACAAAATAATTTTATCCCACAGAAAATGTGCTATCATTCAGAGGTGGATGACATGAGCTTTCCAGGTAACCCGTTTAGGGAGTTAGAAATACCTAAGTACATTGATTATTTTCAAAAAGTAACTGATTCTCAGTTGGGAACTGAGACGACTGCCAATTAGTATCATCAGCATACACATGACATGAAAATAAGAAAATTGAAAATACAATATTGAAAATATAAATTTTAGAATATTTTTTCCTTTTCTCTTAGTTAACACTTGAACAATATGAAAGAGCTACAAGAGACAATTAAATTGTAAATTTGTGTGGTAGAAGAATAAATTGGGAGGAGGACTTTTGCCATATACAATAAAGGTATATTAAAAGCATCTGAACACCAGCCTCTCACACTTTTTCACAAAGATTCTTTCACTCTTTCAGTTCTTATTCCTACCTAGAGTGGTATGAACAGTAGACATTTAAGAAATGGGTACAGTAGAGGAATATAAACCTCTAATTATGAAGAGAACTTCTAAATTGTTATGACTTAGACAGTTAGTTAATTATTTCCTTGCATTGCTGTTACGCTAGGGTAAAAATAGACTATAACAACACCATTACAAAAAAGGCTCAAAACAAAGCACTTCCTTCTGTTTGAGACCAGGGTGCAACTCTTACTAGGTAGTATCTTGGACAGTGTTATGTGTTATGTCTTCCCTACATAGGAAATCACAGACAAAAGTGTTAATCACAGAATTTTTTTTTCACACATCACTGAGAAGCCCAACAAATCAGACCACTACATGAAATGAGATTACATGTATGGAATGTAAAGCAACTGAAGTGCAGGAGAAGCTTCCGATATCCTAGTCTGGTTTGTTGAAAGTAGACAACTGTGTGCCGGCTTCACAGTCTCTCGTAACTTTTTTTCCATTCACCACCAACATTACAGGGGTATTCACCCTTATCGAACTAAACTGGTATTGCTGGACAAGAAAACAAAATGGTTATTCCATGATTAAAAATTAAAGTAACCAAATAAAAAATAACTGTGAAATGCATTGGATTCAAAATCTTACTGTTTCTTTGTGAGAGACATGCACTTCAGAGAAGAAAGGTTCTGGTATGGCTACAGCATCTCCAATAATGACTCCTTTGCCTTCAACCAAGTTGTACACTGTTACTGCAACAGTGGTCTGTTCCGCATCAGTCATACAGAATATACTGAATAAAAATGTAAAAAAAATAACAAAAAAAAAACACACACACACATTATGAGAATAATATTTCAAAAAGATAATGTTACATCTATGAGGAACAAAAAGGACACTGACAGAAATAAATACTTACAATGGCACACCATCATCATGGCGGATATGACACACTACCCTTCCTAATACAACTTTTTCAATGTTGAGACCAGGAGTTAAATCTGATAATGGAACAAGGTTAAAAGTCATATTTCTGTAGGTGGAAGCATATGGTCCCAAGAGAGGTGGAGTCAGCGTCTGTGTTAAAGGAATATGAAATATAATTCCTCATATATAACAGTTTATCATACAGGGCCCTTTTTCTTTCACCATACCTTTAACATTCCCTGAAGCTTTCTGGCACCTACTTTCCCTTTCTTTTTGACTAATTCATGAATTTTCCCCAGGTAGTTTATCAGATCTTCAAGCTTCTGGGATGCACTGTCCCAGGTAGGGTCAAGGGAGCAAGCTAAAGTAAAGGCTTCAAGAGCTTGGGTGTAATCTTCATCATACTTCAGAGCCTGTCAAATGAAAAAAAAAAAAAAAATTGGGCATAATATGGGATGGGTTACAATTGAAATAAGATACACTTAGATGGTGTGAAAATAAATTTAACTTACAATGCCTTTGTTGTAATGAAATTCTGACGTACTCTTTGTTCTAGGATCTTTTTCCTAAAAGAAAGGGTGAAATATCAGGTAAAGGATTCAACCAACCGACAATTGTAATTTATAAAGGAAAGAGAAGATAATTGACAACTCACAGCAAATTCATAAGCTTTGAGGGCCGATTTAAGAACCATGGGGTTCTGGGCAATATTAAAAAATTCACTGAAGTGTGCATTAGCAAGGATAACCCAAGACGCACCATCTTCAAAGTCAAGAGCAACCGCCTCTTTAGCCATACGCACACCCAGCTGTATCATTTCACACCTTTCCTTGCCGGATTTTGCTCTTAAAGCTTCATCTCTCGTTGTGATTGACAAACATCGGAGTGACACTTTGTTACGACCCTGTGAAAGAGTCCATGTTTTAAAACTGATAGTTAGCAAGAAAAAAGATTGTATATTATGGGTATTGGAGTAAATAATCATATTTACAGTCCATATGATATGATGTACTTATATGATATACTTACATGCCTGAGAGCATTCTCGAAGCAGTTCTTTGCATCACTACTCTTGCCCTTTTTCCAAAAACATTCACCTAATTCATTCCATGCATCAATCAGACTGGGGTTTAATTTAAGAGCTTTAGAAAGTAGTTCTTCGGCTAGTGGATTTACATCAGGTAGTACATTAAGGGCTTTCCCCTGAAGGAAAAGGTACTGTGCTTTGTCTGCTCTGTCTGCTTGAACTGTTACATGAATATCAGATTACTGTATCAGTTGTTTGATATTAGCTGATTCACAAACAAAAACGAAGTCATAACTTTCAACTTACCTTTTAATTCAGTGAACAACTGAAGAGTCTCATCAAGTTTTTCTTTAACCAACTCATTCTTTTTGCATGCATCATCAATTGTATGGCTTTCAAAAAAAAGGTCTCGAAAGGCATATAATTGATCAACTGCAACCTAAATTTCGGACAAAAATATTATGGGTAACAGATCTAATGCCGTTTGTCGACAGAAATTGGACAAAGTCAACGATTTACCTTCAGTGGATGAAGTGAAGGGTCAACAGTCTCAAATGCATCGGAAACATTATGTTCAGTCATGATCCACCAAATACCGCCAGAGATTAAGTCCAAATTTTACGTTCTTTCGGGAAAGCCCAAAATGTACCTAACAATCAGAGAGATTTTGAGGTTTAAACGTCATATTATTTTAATAACCTGGAAAATGTTTTGGAAGCACTGCGGTCAGGACATGGCAGGTTAGCATTGTTTGAAATAAGGCTTACACGTGAAGGATTGTCAGGATAAATTCATCATTTTCCCCAACCGGTCAGCAGAAACAGTTCTCAAAACCTGTCAAAATACAATCAGACCGAACGACCATCTTTCTTTCATCAATCACAAAACAAAAACAAGAACAAGAACAAGACCGGCGCCTATCCTCATTCAGATTGGCGTTCACGGCTGTGGGGTCGGGGGTGGGGGTGGGTGTGCGGCCAGGGTTCTGCGAATGGAGAAAAGAACAAAAGCAGAGCTCCGCAAAGCCGAGCCGTTCTCGCGTGGCAGGTGGCGGTGTGTTTGGGTTCCCAGCATGCACCGCGGCGGCACAGTTCGTGAGAGAGCTGCTCAGAGCGAGGCTCGGGGCCCCCAAGTGTCGTCGGTCGGAGACGAGACGCGGCCTCGCCATTGCTTGTGTTTCCCCCGTGTGCCTGCCTGGGAGGACGGGGAGTGTTGTTATGAAGCTGTAGAATGAGGAGGTCGTAGGATGTGGACCTGATTATTCGGAAGATGAGTGCGCACCAGTACCTGTGATAAATTGAGTGCGTGCAAAATGGCAGCCTCTTCATAATGACGTTACATGAAAGTGCGATTGGGTTCGAGTGCGTTTCTCTCGGTCTCGGGCTCGTGCGACTGGCGCTGTCATCCTTGTGAACAGCTGCCTTGCCTCGGTGCTGCTGTGAGCAGTGGTTTCCCCCTTTTGGATTACTCGTCACGTCGGCCAGGATACTAACAGTGCCAAGGATGAGTCCGAGGAGCATCCCAACGGATAAGGTACGAATCGACAACGGTGCAGACGACATTTAGAGTTTGGCCGCGCCCCATCTCTAAGTAGGCTACTGAGATTTTGTACTATTCTGCCGTTCTTATGGTCAGGTTTTACACCTCGCACTGGAAGTCGAGATGTTCTTCTTGCCGTCATGTACACCCCCGTATCTTTATGTACTCCCATTCTGTCTCACAATGAATGAGAAAGGTGAGATTCCCCATAACCTTTACTTCAGATGAAAACAAAGGGTGGTGTTGCCCAATAGTTTTTGAGTGGCTCAATTCAATATTGCCAGTAAATCGGACAGATCTTTTTAACTGAGCCAGTCTCATTCCCGTACTTAGTGTCCCGTTTCTTTGTTCAGTGCAATTTTGTCAACAAGTCACCTGAAATGTCAGCTGACTAGTATTGTTGGTTGGCTGCATAAATTCCAGGTGAATCAAATGCAGACTACCTCTTTCATGAAGGATATGGAATTCGATGACAGTAATAATGTGCATAATTACTGTTAAATGGGGAGATAGGTTGAGTTATAAACAAACTATCCATGAAATATTTAGTTTTTAACATTTTTGATGTTATTCTTTTTATTAGTCGCTTAAAGCGGTTCAGATATTGTGCAGAAGGGTCTAAATACAGCAAGTTCAGGGTCATTAAAAAAAACGAAAAAACTATTAGTGAGACGATAGTATGCTGCCATCAGTAGATCTCTGTCTTTTGTACGACTGATTTGCAGCATAACTATGATTCAGGAGAGAGAAAATGAGTATTTAACTGAGTGTATTTTGCATTAATACCCAAGCATGATACCAGCTGACTTCGACGCCCCCCTCCTCCGTGTTTTTCCAAAAAATTGTGTTCGCCAATTATTTTTTTGTTGGAGGGGGAGGGGACCCGCTGGCTCTGCACCTACCCGGTGAAGATTGGCGTGGCGGCGCGTGGCGGTACCGAGCCGTGTACGCGTGTGCGTGTGCCAGTGTAGCAGTGTACCACAGCTGCGCTAGCTTGGCTAGCTTCGCCAGTGAAAGTGACGAAATGTGCGACCCCACGACCCCGCTGCCCCGCTGCCCCGCTGCGACCTCGGCCGCGGCCCCACCTCCCTGCACCTCCCCCGCGGTGCCCTTACGGTGCCGCGGTCCAGGAAGACGGGGAAGACTCCCCCGGCCCGGGCTGCCCGGGCGACACTCGCCGTGCCAAACGGCGATTCGGTTACAAGAGCGGTTTGTCTTGTCGCCGTGTCTCTCTCGCACCCTGACGGCGGGCCCCACGGAGTGCGGCCCTCTGAATGGCTCGGCAGCGTCTGTCAATGATGTCGGTGACTGTGCTTCGAGTACGTCTCCGTGGACTGGACCAAGTCCGCGGTACGACACACGGACTTTTTGCACCTCTCCTTCGTCCTTTCGGGGAGGGGCGCAGGCTTGGCCCACGCGGTGGGTTGATTCCCGGTAGAGTCGTCGACGCTGGTCGCGCTGCCCACCGACTGCGATGGGTGGACTGGGCACCCTAGCCTCGCCTGCCGGTGTGAGAGAGATAGACACCTCCTACCTGCCTACCTGGACGACCTGAACGGCGGCGGGGCGGGGCGGGGGCGGCGGGGGCACCTGCCCGGTCTTGCTGCTCTGCTACACGCAGGTCTCTACACGCAGGCCGCCGCCGCCCCGACGCCAGCCCCGCCCCGCCCCGCTCCGGCTCGTTTCCAATCTTGGACCGCATCCTGCCCCTGCCCCGGCTGGCTGTGCTGGCTGTGCTCGGCTCGGCACGCTTACAATGGAGCTGCACTACGCGTTGCGGTGCTGCGGCGGCGGCCCGGTTGCGTGGGAGGACCAGAAAAACGGTTCCTGGCCCCGATCGCGGATCGCGGATTCTAGATGACGGTGTTTTGCAGTGGCGCGGATGCGTCAGCGGCAGCGGGGCTGAGCGCGGCGATGGCAGATAAAACGAGGAAGGACGTTTTGGGCGCAGAGGCGCAGATAGGCGGTGTTGGCTGACTGCGCTTCGTCCTCGTGTCCTGCCTTGGCCAGCACGCCAGCACGGCCAGGAAGGTCCGGGACTGTACGGGCCAACTTGATATGGGGATTGTGGCGGCCCCCTTTGTCGCTGCGCCGAGTGGCCGGCCAGGCGGACAGGACGGAGGAGCAGCTACAACGGCTCAGCCCCAGGCAGCCCCAGGCTTTGCGATCCCCGTGTCGCCGTGACGCGGCCCGAGCCGAGCCCCGTCGCATGTTAGCATTCTGATCCCCTTTGTCAGAGCCCGGGCAAAAAGTCGCTGCTCGAGAGAGCCGTCGCTTTTTCGGACGAGGAATCTTTATCTCTTTGGTCTTGTTTGTGGGGTGCTTTGCCCCGACGGCAGGAGCTGGAACTCTGGAGCGCGCTCCACCGCTCCCGACTCGGCTCCCGAGGCCTTCCAGGCCTTCCAGGTCTTCCAGGTCCGCGCTGGCGCTTGGCGTTTCCGCGACGCGGTGCGGTTCGAGATTGAAGCGTGTATTTTAGGAAGTAGGCGCGGCCGGCGCGGCCCCGATCCGAGCACCCGAGCCCAGCCGTGGGCATCCAAGTGCTTCGGGGCCTTCGGGCGTCGGGCACGGCGTGGCGCGGCGGTGGTCGTCGCGACGGTGGCCGCGCACCGCATCCGGACAGGTGGCTGGCCGGGCGTGCCGGGCGTGCCGGGCGCCGTGTTCCTGTCCGCGCTCATGATGCGCAAGGCGTCGCCGCGACGTCGCCCGCGTTGCCGTCTGCAGCTGCGGGCGGCCAGGCCTCGCCCAGGCCTCGGGCACGGGCACGGCACCGTGGTGCGTGCAAGGGTGCGTGCGTCGCGGTGTGCGCGTCGCGACGTCTCGCGGCTTTCCCCGCGCGGCGGCGGTGGCGCAGGGCGCGGCGACGAGCACTGGGACGCGTCTCAGCCTCAGGGCTCGGGGCCGACGGGCACCTCATTACTCGTAATGCGGGCCGACCGGGCGAGGCGCGTCCTTGATGACGGCCTGGGCGGCCTGGGCAGGGCGCGCCTTGGGGCCTTGGAGACCGCCTGGCCTCCCTGCCCCCTGGTCCCCCTGGGAGGCTGCGAGCCGCTTCCTCATCTTTCATGATGCCGCCTGCCGCGCTGCCGCCACCGCCGAGCCCGCTCCGTCAGATCGGCCTGTCCGCCTGCCTTGCCTGCCTGCCTGACCCGTGCCCCACCCCAGGACGCCCGCCCACCCCGCCTCGCCCCACCCCGCCGCGCCGCGCCTCACAGGTGTCGTAATTGGGCCACTTTTGAGTTGGCATTGCCGCCCCGCCCCGGCCGCCCCCTCCCCTGGACCGCCTTCCCGTCCTCCCTGCAGCCTGCTCCAGGCCGCTCCAGCTCCAGCCACGCACGCCCCTCCCACCAGCTTCACCAGGCTCTGGGCCTCGCCGCCGCTGACCGCGCCGTGCTGTGCCCACTGGGGCCAGGCCGTGTCGTTTCCGTCGCTCTGTCTGTCTCTCTTACCTCTAGAGGACGCTCCACGAGTGCGAGGGAGACAGAGCGACGAAAGGACTGCTGGCCGCGCAGGTGGTGCACGCTACGCGACGCTACGGTACTCGCGGGGCTCGGCTTGCCGCCAATAAAAGGCCGGCTGGGCGGCAGAGCGAAGCACAGCGAAGCGCGGAGCGTCGCGTCTCATAACAGTGCCGCTCGCCGCTCGCCCCGCTATAGCGGTCTGGCGGCCAGCCGGCTGCCCCCGGCCCACGGCCCGCAACGTCCGGCAGGGACTTCCCTCGAAGCGCGTTGCGCGATGCGAGACGCCGCGGTGGGGGCGGCGGCGGCGGCACGCGGCCACTCCTGTGGCTCATCTGGGCGCGCGGCCCGCGCTTCGGCGTGCCGTCCGCATCGGTCCGCATGCTGCCGTCGTCGTGATGCCTGTCCATTATGCGCGCGCTGCCGTCCTGGCGGCCCGGCGGGTTACTGGGCCGTCGCGGCCTTGATCTGGTTCCTGGACTGCCCTGCTGCGCCAGCTGCGCCCTGCTGGGGTCCTGACGCGGCGTTTCCCGACGGAAGCGCGCCAATTTTCCACTACGACACATTTTTGTGTGTGCCCGCCGACGATTGAGTGGTTTTGGTTGCGCCGCCCGGTCCGCTGGCTAGGTGCGGCTTGCCGTGTGCCGCGTGCCGCGTGCGTAATGAGGAAGTGGAGCAATTGTCGGCGCGTGCTGCGCGTGGCGTGCGGCGTGCCGCGTGGCCGTCGAGGCGTGCCGTGCCGCGCCGCCGCGCCCTGCCCGGCCATGCGGGCCCATCAGCGCGCCGCCTTATCTGTCGCGCACCGCGTTGCACCGCGTCGCACCGCGTCGCACCGCGCTGTCGCGTGCACCGCGCCACCATGGGGGGGCCGGCCTGTCATCGCTTGCCATCCGGAGCCGTGAGAGAATGGGAGGCTTCACCCACACCGTAGACTGATTCCGAAAGTCTCTCTCTCTCTTTCGCGCCTACAGGAGTGCGAGAGAGACAGAGCGACGCAAAAGGGCTCCCGGGATCAGTCTGATCAGATCTGCTGGCGCGTTGCCGTTCCCCTTCCCCTCGCCTGCGAACACCACGCGCACTTGGGAGGGCAGAGTTTGCCGTCTCCACGCTTCGAGTCCTTCGAGTGCGGTGTTCTCCACGTTTGCGCCATGCCAAGAGAGAGGGCCTCTGTGAGCTCCACACTTGAAGTTAGCAAACTGCAAACTCCACTCCGCACGTCACCCACCAGGTAGTGTGGAGTTCTCCACACTTGGTTTGACAGTGTAGTATGATTCAGGTATCGCGGTTTCGTCGCTCTGTCTCTCTCTCTCTTGTTTGCAGTACTTTCGGCAAGGGTGCGAGAGAGACAGCAGGGTCGTTCTCCTCGAACCCTGCGCGGCGCTGGGTGAATGACTTGGCGGTGATTAAAACGCGAGCGCGGCCTGCCGAAGCACACTGCACACGCCGCGCAGGACCATCCCCCCCCCCCCTTCCCCCTTCGCCCGGATTGGCTCGTTCGCCTCGGCAGATTGGCGCCGGTATCGTCCGTACCGCCGG